AATGGAGGAGAAGGGATTGTGGCGTGACCATCCCCCCTGGGGGGTGATTTCTCGCTTTCTGTCTCTCTGTCTCTCTCTGTCTATCTCGCAAGCACACGCGCCCTATAGTGAAAACCTCTCAAAAAAAAACAACAACAACAACAAAAATACATTATTGGCCCCCTGGAACAAGAGGTCCTAAGCCAGGATGCTCCTGGAGGTCACCTGTCTACAATGAGTCTCGGTTCCTCGCCCCTCAGCTGTCTCCTGGAGGGCCACAGACAATGATGCCAAGATTTCTGTGTGACAATGACAGGGGCCACTTAGAGGACCACATAGCAAAGGAAAATGTGCCTCCTCCCTGGTGGTCAGCTGTTTCCTCCCAGGAACCTGATGCAGCATGCTGGACCAATGCAGACCCCGGTGGGCACGGACCAGGCTCTGCTCACTGGACCCTGGGTCCCTGCAGGGGAGCTGCAGCATCTGACCCGAGAGCCTCCGCCCCCGGCCAGGACAGGGCCTGGCTGAGTCAGCACCAAGAGCGTGTAGGACAGGTGGGTGGCGGGCTGGCGGGCAGGCGGGGAAAGACAGGTGGGCAGGCTGACCATGAGGGTTGGAGTGAAGGCAAATAAAAGGGTGAATGATGGTCAAGTGATAGAAAGAGTGCCTGCAGCCCAAGAGTGTGACCTAGGTGCTGGCCCCAACGGGTCAAGTGCGATGTCCATAGAGATGTCTTTGTTATTATTATTAATTTTTTTTCTTTAAAAAATTTTTTGTCTTTTTTTTTTTTTTTTTTTTTTTTGCATTTGTACTAGAATTTAATGTCACAGAAAGAATCCTGGACTATGAGTCAAACACCCTGGGTTTTGGGGTCATCCCTTTTGGTGCACGACCGGCATGAGTTTTAAAACTGCCGGGTTTGGGACTCAAACCATAGTCAACATGGGAGTCCAGTGATGTAACCATTATGCCATCTGCTGGTTCCATATTTTTCTTCCTTTGTTTTTTGTAGAGGTTCTTGCCTTAGGGTGCATGCGCTCCCCAGAGAAAGAGAGAGACAGAGACAGTGAGAGGGAAAGTGAGAAATCAACCCCTGAGGGGATGGCCACACCACAATCCCTTCTCTTTCACTCTCCTCTCAGGACCTTGAGCACACATGCACATGTGCCCAGCGTGATTTTCAAGCCACCATGTCCAGAACTAAAACCTCTGTTGGCCATGTGAGAGTTCAGAAACGTAACTGCTATGCCATTTGCTGCCCCCCTCCTCCTTTGTTTTTATCTTTAATTTTTTGCTATAAGGTGTTTGTGCTCACAGGAGAAACAAAGAGAAAGGGAAAGTGAGAAATCCCCCCCCTCAGGGGATGGCCACACTGCAATCCCTTCTCCCTATTCTCTTCCTCTCAGAACCATGGGCACACAGGCGCGCACGTGCACACACACACACACACACAAGTGCACGTGTGTTTTTTAAGCCAGCAGGTCCAGGACTCAAACCATGCAGCTGGGCATGTGGGATCCAGCTGCTTTAACCTCCACACCACCTGCTGGCCTTTTTCTTTCATGTTTTTAATTGCTACAAGGCACATGTGCTCTCCAGAAACAGAGACAGAGAGAAAGCACCTCCCAGTGAGGGGTGATCACGCTGCAAACCCTTCTCGGCCAATTCTCCATCCTGACAGGATCAGGGGCACACAAGCACATGCGCCCAGCATGTTTTTCAAGCTGCCAGGCCCAGAATTCAAGCCACAGTTGGTCAAGAGGAATCGGCTCCCTTAACCACTAAGCTTCAGGGCCAGCCTAAATGTGTTTTCTTTATACATGGTAGAGTGCATACACACACGAGAGAGAGCAAGCGTGTATGCGTGAGAGAGAGGAAGATGAGCACCCACTACGGGGCCCGGTCACACTGTGATCCTCCTCGGCCAGTCCTCCAGACTGTCATGCATGCCTGGCATGTTTCAGGCTGACCAGGCCAGGGATTCTAACCGTGGCCACCATGTGGGATCTGGCTTCCGTTACACGCACATCCCCAAAGAGCTGGCCCGAGACATCCTGACAGGCAAGTCCGTCCATCACATTCTGTCTCCAAGGTCCAAGACGGAAAGGTCCCTAGAGGCCCAGCTTGGAACCCGCTGGAAGCAGAACTCAGGCTGCGGGCCAGGACCAGCAGACCGTGGTCCAGAGGAGGCGGGGACAGGCTCCATCCTCCAGTGCCGTCAGGGCTCAGTGGGCCTGGCTCCCAGAGCCACCCTAGGTCTGGGGGCCAGCACTGAGCGGAAAGCAGTGGCCACAGGGTGAAACTGTTCACTAACTCCTCTTCATCTTCAGGGTCCCAGCAGCACCCCTCCCACCGCCACACCACAGAGCACCCCAGACCCGGATCTGCTAGTCATCTACAAGGCTGGGCCTGCCCACAGCCTGTCTCTCAGCAGGTGGATTTCGAGGCATGCTCCATACCCACCTTCTTCACCAGTGCATCCCTGGCACTGAGCAGGCACTTGAGACTAACAGAGGCCCAGACTAAGTGACTCCTCATTGTGTGTGCAGGCACACGTGTCTCTACATATGTGTGTCCCCAGCCTCCTTCTAAGCACTGTACACGGGACATGGGAACTGAGCCATAGAAGTGCTAAGTAAGCCATCTGCCCTGGCCCCATGGCTGGGACTGAACCAGGCAGTCCAGTATCACAGCTCGACAAACAAGGCCACACCAAGGTCCGAAGGCTTCTCCGAGGCCTGCCTCTTTACAATGGCCACCTGCACTCAGGCTCTGGCTCCCTCCAAGAGGAAACGAGGTCCCAGCTCCTCCGGCCGTGCAGTGGTTGACACTGGGGAGAGACAGACACGAAGGGCTCCTCTCCCAGCAGCGAGGTCCCAGGGCACCGATGACGTCCTATGAGGGGGAGACTAAGGGCCTCTCACACCTCTAGGCCCCACTCTCGCTACCTCCTCCAGGAAGCCTCCTGGCTGACCCTTGCCTATCTGCCCAATGCATGGGACCAAGGCCCTGCTGAGTCAGGGCCAGGCCCAGGAAAGGAGAAGTGATGTCAGAAAATCACAACATATGGGAAAACCCCAGGGGAAGGGGCAGTGACCCCCTACCGGGAACAGGGCTCACGGAGTATCTCCAGCCACCCAGAGTCCTGGCACTCAGTGCCAGCTCCCCTA